TGCACACTGGACAATGAGCAGGATGAGAAACCTTGGAACAATCAGTTTTAGATGGGATGTCTTCATCAATCTGCCACCTCAGGGTGCTGGGAGCTATGCAGAAAAGGAGGCAGACAGAATGTAAGATCCAGCGAAGATAGATGATACAAAAAAAAATTGTCTTCCACGCACAAAAAGGGCTGATGCACGTATGAATTGACAGAGACTATGGCAGCTTGCACTGGGCCTCTGGGAGTTTAAGTCAGACAGAGTTCTAAGGCTAAGCAGAGGATGAGAACATGACCTTGCATCCTTAAACAAGAAGCAAATTCCAACTGACAATCACTTGCAAAAGAAAAATCAGTTTTCTTTAGTGGAGTCTCACTGTGTACACACATCACACTTAAGGGCATGCTCCATGCTCAACAGAGAAAACCAACACAAAATAAACTCAAGTGTTTTATAGATTATTTATCTATAAAACTTAAAAAATAAAAATAAAATAAAACTATTCACATTCACATATAAGATGTACAGTTGTAGTCAACTATAAGGCTACAGTTTTCTGTGTTACACATCTTCACATTCATACAAACAATTCTGGAACATTTTCTACTTGAAAAGCAAGATTTGTTGATATTAAATTCAAAGTTCTCTTTCTTCCTCCCTGGTCTCTTGGCCATCAAGCATCTTCTTTCTGTTTCTATTATTGTAACCAGTTTACATAAGGCATTCTTATTTTATTTCTGTCTTGTTCATTGGCTAGTTTACTTAATGTACTGTCATTAAAGGTAATACCATGCATCTCTAGATCACAGGTTTTAAAGTTTTAGTGAATTTTTTTGCATTTACATACTATCTAATTTTTATCAACAATTTTAGTGATATCTAGTTTGCTTCTACCTTTCTTAGTTTCTGTTCTAATGTTGTGAGGAGACTCCATGATTAAGGCAATTTATAGAAAAAGCAATTAGTTGGGGCTCGCTTAAAGTTTCAGAGGGTTAGTCTATGAACATCATGGTGGGGAGCACACCTTGCAGGCAGGCAGGCATGGCACTGGAATAGTATCCCAAAACTCTACCTGAACCATAATTTGCAGACACATAGAAAGAGATCAGGCATGGTTTGGGTTATTGATACCTTAAAGCCTACCTCCTGTGACATATTTTCAATTAAGTCACCCCTCCTAAACCTTCCTAAACAGTTCAATAAAGTCTTTAAAGAAACAGCAAGAGTAATATTAAAAAAACCATATAAAGATGGGAAATACATAGGAGGTCTGGATCCTGTATGTTGCTGTGTTAATTTTGAATTTTTTGATTGTTGACAAAGGTCAGCTGCTAAGAGACCTGTAATTGAAAGAGGGAATATTGAAATAAACCCACCAAGATACTTTAGGAATGCTTTAACTTTAAAATGGAGTCAAAAATATATTTTTCAAATGGAAATCAATAAAGCTTTTGAGGAGAGGTTATGATATTGTTTCCACTTGAAAGGAGAGGCTATGCATTTCTTCCAAGTTAACATGGTTTGATTGAGGAAGATCCCCTGAAAAATCTCTGATGGGAATGGAGGTCCCAGATGATCCAACATTTCAGAGCACCTCTGTTGCAGTTTCCTCTGAGTTCTACATCCAGAACAGCTTGAAAGCTGCTGTCACAAAAGACTACAGTCAGGAATGGACTGTAATTCTAATTTTTCCCAGGGTCCCTCAAAGATTAGCAGCACCCACCAATCAGTGGGAAGTAGTCTAGAAAACTACACCCAAATTCCCAAAATTGTATTTATGAATGTTTGTTTTCATTTAACAGTTGTAGCCCACTAGGTTTCCTAGTGCCTGAACCCAGCAGGACTGCAGAAGAGGTTGATTGGACCATGGGTCTCTGTATCGGGTGTTTGTAAGGGTCTCCACTTGACTGTAACTAGCAAGCAGGAGGTCTTTTGCCCTACCCATTGGCATTGTTATAAACAGACCTTTAGAATAAAGTTCAGGGCCCATTTGGATGAGGATCCAGGCCCACCTGAGTCTATCCTGTGTTTTCTCTCTGTTTCCCTCCTCTTTATTTCTAACTAAGTCTCTTATCTCTCATTCCTCAAGAGTCCCTGGGGTAAATAAATACAGGGGCTGGTTCCTCATAGATGTTCCATCACAGATGGCACCTGAACAGAGACAAAGAAAAGATAAAAAGGAAAAAAAACTAGCCCAAGGACTTGTCAAAAGGATTGATGGGGTGTTGGGAGTGTAAGCATGGTGGTAAGGAATTGAAAAATGAAGGCAACGATATTTCATTCTTGGGTGTATAGGTTAGGCAGTTTTAGATTTCTTTCTATTCTCTCTCTCTCTCTCTCTCTCTCTCTCTCTCTCTCTCTCTCTCTCTCTCTCTCTCTCTCTCTCTCTCTCCTATCTATAAAAATTAAGGAAGGTAGAAAATAGAAATATTGAGTAAAGAATATAGAAAAGAAATAGCTTAGGGTAAAGTAGGATAAGGTAAGCCGAATTATGGGGCTATGAATGCAAAATCCTGAGGAAGAATCAGACAAAAATCTATCAAAGAAGAGTTTAACCGGGAGCTATCTAGGAGAGAAGTTCCTTTTTTTTTTTTTTTTTTTTTTTTTAATCAGAGAAAGAAAATTTCTGAAACAAATGCTTTCGGTTTGCCTCTTGACCTGAGTGAAGCCCCAAGGGTTTTGCCTCTGGCAATAAGCCACAAACTGAGTGTGAGGACAAACAGATGCAAGGCTCAGGAACTGGGTCAGGGTAAAGATCTAATTAGAGTGGTATACCTGTTAAAAGGTGACTCAGGCATTCTAGCTTAGGAAAGAAAAATCTGTTGCAAAAGGGAAACCCTGTAAAGGGAACTGGAAAGTTTGCTAGCATACCTGAAAAGCTTTCTGGAAATGTAGTATTAATACAGGTTTGAAACAGTGCCTTATGTCATCTAATAGCTGCTCAAAGTGTTTTTGAGCATATGGTATTGAAAATGTTTTAATAACTTAGACTTTTCATGACAGTGAGATACATCTGTTCCTGGCAGCACCAACATACTCCATAAAATTTGATGGTCATTGGAGAAACTCTTTATGAAGTTTGTTTTCTTTATGGCAAAAGCTAGCCATGTGGGTAAAGAAACTGCCGTTCCTTCAATTTCTGACGGTTACTGTCCAAACTGTACCTGCAGGATGTAAGAAAGGTGACTGCCGAGCTTTGCCAAGACAAGGTAGGATAGTCCTTCAAATTTCCCTGCTTCACAGGAAAGTCTGTCAGATATGCTAGGCCTGTGTCACAGAGATGGATGCCCCAATATGACAGAGAAACTTTGGGTGACTTTCCAGGCAGCCAGCTGATTCTGTCATTTGTCACATTTTTTTGAAGTTATTGCCTGCACTTCCTGCTTACTCAGGTAATATTATTTCCTTCTTAGTTCTTTGATGGAATTGAAGACTAGATAGTTTTAGTTTTTCATAGTTATGATAAAAAGGTAAGTTAGATATAAAACTTTAAACTCACCAAGATGAGATAAATAATAAAACATTTTATCTAATTTTGTCAAAAACAAATGGATTGGATATTGTAACTGTAATTCTTGTTTGATAACTGTTTTTTTGGTATGTAATTTTACTAAGTTAAAGTTGAAACCTTCCTTTTTGACTAGAAAGAAAGGGGCAAATGCTGTGGGATAATCCTTCTGTATGCTGTGAATATGTATTCCTCTCATTGGTTAATAAAGAAGCTGCTATGGCCTAGAGCAAGACAGAATGAAGCCAGGTGGGACAGTCAACCTGAAAATACAGAGAGGAGAAGGGCAGAGTCAGAGAGAAACAAGCCTCCCCAAGGAGAAGCAAGATGCTAGAGAACAGGTAAAGCCACAAAGCCACGTGGCAAATGTAGGTCAATAGAAATGGGTTAATTTCAGTTGTACGAGCTAGTTAGTAATAAGCCTCAACTATAGACCAAAATTTCTGTAATTAAGATAAGCTTTGTGTGATTATTTGGGACTGAGCAGTCGGGATAAAAGAAAAGCTCCACCTCCATTTCCATTTTTGTTACTGTGTCAGTTTGGGAAATGTATGCCTGTATGTATGTTTTCACTTGTGTTTTTGATCAAGAAAGTAAACAGAGCCACTATAACTCTTGAAAATGAGTTTTTTTGGTTCATACTCCATCGTTCTACTCTAAAATCACTTTGTATAGGGCTTGGCTTTTGGACCTTTTTCTGCATTTAGTATTTGTTACACTCAAGTACAGGAAAATGTTTTTTTTTTTTTTTATTACAGAACCTTTTTTTTTTTTTTTTTTTTTTGGTTTTT